GCTGTGCCCGCAGGCAGCGGCCCGGACCCGGGGCGCCGGCGGCCCTGGCGGAGGAGCATCGCTGCGCCGTGGAACGTCGGGGGGACCTCAGCTACTCCGAGTTCGTGCAGCAGTACGTGCGTCCCCTCGCACTGGCCACCCCTCCCACACCCCAGTGCGTGTCCCCCGGAGCGCTGCTGTCCCCACTCCCTTGTTTGCCGACCCGTCCGCTCGGGCCCCCCTAGTCCGCCCCCCCCCCTTCAGCTAACGCGGATGGGCGAGGCTGAGACCTGGCCGTGACTCTGACCTTGCAGCTACGCCTTCTCCAGACCCGTCATTCTGCAGGGGCTCACAGACAACTCGGTGAGTGCTGGCGCCCCTCCTGGCCACTTGTCACCCGTGCTGGGCCCGGCCCTTGAATCTCTTCCCCACCCCCTCAGAGGTTCCGGGCTTTGTGCTCCCGAGAAAGGCTACTGGCCTCCTTTGGGGACAGCGTGGTTCGGCTGAGCACTGCCAATACCTACTCCTACCGGAAAGGTGAGCTACCCCACCCTGCAGCCCAGCCTGCTCGCCAGCATCTTGCAAGTAGCTTCAGCCAGTCCTGATCAGCCCCTTTCCTGCAGTGGACCTGCCCTTTCAGGAGTATGTGGAGCACTTGCTGTATCCCCAGGACCCTACCTCTCTGGGCAACGGTGAGTCCAATTTGGTTGGCCATGGGCTGGGATGGGGGCACCCAGGTGCCAAGATCTCTGTGCCTCCCATGTTCTTTGTTAGCAGACACCTTGTATTTCTTTGGGGACAACAATTTCAGCGAATGGGCATCGCTCTTTCAGCACTACTCCCCACCACCATTTAGTCTGCTGGGTACCACTGCTGCTTACAGTTTTGGAATCGCAGGTGGGTACCTTGTAAAGGGGATTTGGAAGGGAAGAAAACACTGTAAGTTGGGTTGCCTCAGCAACTGCTCATAAATGACCCCACAGGAGCTGGTTCTGGGGTGCCCTTCCACTGGCATGGGCCCGGGTTCTCAGAGGTGATCTACGGCCGCAAGGTCAGCACAGGATGGGGGCTGGGGCTTGGGGCTTACTGACTGCAACAGAGTGACCCTATTGCTCCCATCCTCAGCGCTGGTTCCTATACCCCCCTGAGAAGACACCCGACTTCCATCCCAATAAAACCACGCTGGCCTGGCTTCAGGACATGTACCCAACCCTGGCACCATCTGCAAGGCCCTTGGAGTGCACCGTCCAGGCTGGTGAGGTCAGTAGGTGGCAGGAAGGGGCCAGGCTGGACCAGACGCCACCAACTAATCCCTGTGCCCCACCCCCACCTCCCAGCAGGTGCTGTATTTCCCTGACCGGTGGTGGCATGCCACGCTCAACCTGGACACCAGTGTTTTCATCTCTACCTTCCTCAGCTAGCCAGAGTGGGCGGCTGGTGAGCCCAGCACACACCAGCGCACACCCCTAGAGTGCTCACAGATTTTATTACAGGACAGTGGTGGCAGCAGCCCACCCTCACCTGCTGTTTCTGGCCCAGATGGGGGTGGAGGTGGGGCTCACGGTCCAGCAGCAAAACTGATGAGGGGGGGGTTGGGGACACCAGGGCAGGGATCTAGGGACACCAACTATGTACAGGAACTGGAGCTACTGCCCCAAGGCCGTCCTGGGCCAGGGCACTAGGCAAGGCGGGCAGCCCTGGCCCTTGCCCAGCCTCAGTAGTCCTCCACCCAGCCGTTCTCGGAGATGAAAGCATCAATGACCTCTTTCATGGCCAGGTTGGGGATGAGCTGTTCCTGGGTCAGGGGGCTCCGGGTGACAGGGTCAAAGTGGCCCACGCGCTGCAGTGTGCAGTGACAACAGGATCAGAAAGTGCTCAGTGGTTATGGGTCCTACTCCCAACACTTTGTGGGCCCTCACCTGCAGATGCTCCTCAATGTCCTTTCGGTCATAGGTGATACCGCTGGGCGTGATGCATGGTTCCCGCATGAGCTCAAAGCTGATCTTGCCACATAGATAGTCCGGGATGTCTCGCTTCTGCAGCACATAGGGTGAGGTCAGGCACCAGGATGGGGACGCTGGTCCAACTCCTGCTACCCAGAGGACAGACAGCTTACCTTTCTCTTCTCATCCACCTGGGAGAAAAGCTCATCCATGTCTGCTAAATACTTGTCCTGCGAAGAACCAAGCAGCTACGCGTGGGCCAGATGCCCCATCCCCCTCCCCCGGGCACACCCTCCCATCACAGGCACGCAAACATGCACACATCCACACGTGGGCTGGGGCACCCTCACGTGCTTGGCCTCGATGCAGGCCTGCTGGGCCCGGATGTGGCCATCGTCCTCATCACCGTCGTGGTTCCGCTGACATTCTTCTAGTTCCCTGGGGGTTGACCACGAGCTAGTCAGAAATGGGTCTGGCCAGAAGAGATCACACTCCACCCCAACCTTGGGCTCGTTCAGGTCTCGCCTTCCCTCCATCTCCTGCTTGCCAATATTGGCCTTCAATAAACACTTGTGTTCTTGACTCAGAGTTAACCCCAGAGTGCTGACTTGGGGCTGGGTGGGGCCCTGGAGCCTGCCACTACCACAGCCCACCTCTCCCGCTCGGCCACAATAAGCCGAGTGAGGTAGGAGTGCAGCTCGTTCTCCTGGTGGATGCGCCGCTCCTCGATGCTGTTCCAGCGCTTCTTCTTAGCGATGCGCAGAGCACTAGGGATGTCATCCCCAAAGTTGAGCCGTTGCTCCTTGGCCAGGTTGTAGGCTGGGGGAATAGGGGCTTCAGGTCACCTGGCTAGTCCATCCACCCGGTCCCAGGCGCCCCTGTAACCTGACAACCTGTAGGCCCACCTCGCTGCAGATTAGCAATGGCCTCATCATAGCTCTCCATCTCTAGCTGGCACTGCCCCAGGAAGAAGTGTGCCTTCACAGACTGCCCGTCCAGTTCCAAAGCCCGCCGGCAGTCTGCCAGAGCCTGCTCATGCTGCTGCATCTTCAGGTAGCACAATGCCCGGTTGGTGTAGTACACTGCCACCAGGGGATTCCGGGTCTGGGGACCAAGGCCAGGCCAGCCAGCATGAGGGAGTGAGCTCTGTGCTCCTTCTCCGTCCTAGGCCCTGTCCTAGGTCCAGTTTAGAGCCCACGGCTAGAATCAAGACACCAGAAACTTCTCAGCTTCAAAGCCCCTGCGTACTGAGGATTGGTGGAGGATGAACTCCCGCTCCTGAGGCCTGCATGAACCCACCCTCTTGACTCCCAGCAGGTCTTGTAAATCTAAGTTTTTCAGACCTGTGGAGATCCCCAGCTTTGGCCCTGGAGTTCTCAAGGAACAAGGATCCCTGGTCCTCGGTCTGGGGGCCTCAAACACCTTGAAGCTCCCACCCGCCACACTTCTCCAGCAACCAGCAGTGGCTCGAGAGCCACAGCCCTGACCCGACTGAAACAAGATCATCACTGAGCTCTCAGAGCCCAAACGCCCCCGCGTACGAACCAAGAGCCTCCGAAGGTCCGGTGGGAATGGCCGGGCAGGGGCTCCGGGGAGGACGCGGGGCCGAAGCCCGGGCCCCGCCCCCTCCCCTGGCCCGGACGCCGGTCCCTTCCCCCGGCGCGGGCGCACTCACGATGGCGCGGCCGTAGCAGGCCGCCGCCTCCGGGTATTTGCGGCCCACGAAGAGCCGGTTGCCCTGCTCCTTGAGCTCCTGCGCGCTCGGGCTCTTTTCGGGGCTTCCGGCGCCCAGCCGCGCGCCGCCCTCCTTCTCCTCCTTGCCCTTCATGGCGCCGCGCGGCACAGCCTGGGCTTTGCTCCCAGGCTCCGCGTCTGGCCCGCCCTGCACCCGCAGCCCGAGCCCGCAGCCCGAGCCCCCGATCCGCTCGGGCCCGGTCCAGCAATCCGCCACCGGAACTTCCGGCCGCGCGGGGCGGGGCCAGTGGGGCGGGCGGACGCGCGGTAGGCGGGGACGCGCATGCGTCCGACGAGCCGCGGGGGGGGAAGGGGGCGGAGCCGGCTGGGAGCATGCGCTCGAGGCAAAGCGACCCGCGACGTCAAGTCCGGAGCTGCGCCAGGACGGCGGCCCAGCAGCTCTCGGCTCCGCCCCACCGAGGCCCCGCCCCGCGCGCGAACATGGCGGCTGCACGCGGGCTGTGGGGCTGTGAGGCCTGGAGCCGCCGGGCCGCCGTCCTGGCCGCAACGGGGAGGTGCTGTGGGCGCGCGCGGACCGCTAGGGGCGGGTGGAAGGCCTGGACCGATGACAGGGCGGGGGGGGCGCGGTCAGTAGGGCGGACGACCCTCGTTGCCCGAGTCTCCGTCACCGCCCTTCCCCAGGCACCGACAGGAGTGCCCGCGGCCACCGAGGGCCGAGCGGAGAAGCACCTGACACGAAACGAGCTGGAGCGGCCACGGGCGTGGAAGGTGGTGGTGAGGGCTTCCCACGTGCGGGGCCGGGCCTGGCGGCGTGGGCGGAGCTTCCTCGTGGTGCGGGTCCGCTTGGTGAGGTCCACCACCCGTGACCCCCGAACCCACCCCGGACCGGATTAGCCGGGAGAGCTGGGCGCCCCGCGAGGTCGCGGGCCGGACCTGGCCGGTTAGTGTCCTTGCCTGTGAAATGGGCCCATGGCCATGTCCATGACGCTGGGGGTCCCTGGGAAGGGCAGCCCTTACGCCGAGCTTGTCCAGACCCTGGTAGGGCACGAGTCCTGGCTGCAGGGATTCCGGAGGCGGCAGCCTTCGTGTCCCACCGCGCAGTGGTCGCAGTACACCCTCAGCAGAGGTGAGGGCCCCGTTGGCAGGCAGGGGTGCAGTATGCAGAGCTGTACGGGAGGATCTAGTGGCCAGTGTCCCCGGGCCCCAGCCTCCCTCTGCCCCTCCCTAGGCAGTCCCTCAGGGCTGTGGACCCCTCACCATGTGGAGACAGCAGTATGGACATGGGCTGTGGGGCAGAAGCTGTGCCCTGATCTGCTGCCGGGCCTTGGTCCCAGCCCGGCCATTCCTGAGGACACCACTGCCAGCCAAAAAATGCAGAACGCAGGCTGCCTGAACTTGGCTGTGGCCCAGGGCCTGCTCACCTGCCCGCAACCTCAGGCCACAGGTTTCTCTGGAGGGCGGGCTGTCCAAGCAGGAGGCTGGCTGCTGTGGGATCTCAGTAAATGCTTGCTGAACTCACACCTGACTGTGAGGACCCCAACTTCTCCCCACATTCATCTTTCTCACACACACAGACACACACATCTCATACCAGTGCAGAGGAGAAAGGGGAAGCTCAGGCTGTCCACATGTCCGCAGTCTGTTCAGTGAGTGGGAGGGAGGCCAGGCCAGCCCCCAGAGCCCCGGTACAGCCACCTGCTGCAGTGTAAAATATTTATTCATTCTCCAAAAAGGCTCAGACTGCAAATCGTGGGGGAGAGGCCGGGGCAGGGTCTCCTCTGGGGCCACACCTGGGGACCTCCCCTGCCTAGCCAGGCAGTCCTACCTCCCCAGGCCTGGGAAGGGGCAGCCAGGGCTGATGTAAGGCTTGGCCTGGACTCAGTGAGTTGCAGGGGCCACCTGCCCCCACGGAGGAGAAGCAGTCTTGAGATGTACATTCAGAGAGGGCGGACATGCAGACTCGCCTGGTGGCTGGCCCACATACACCTGTGCCCTGGCCTGTGTGGCCCTGGGAAGCCCATCAGGGTGGTGGAGGGATGTGGGCGCCCAGCAGGTCGTAGGCGAAGATGTTCCAGAAGATGGCAAAGAGCAGGAAAGTGCCATAGGCGAGCAGCACCACCCACCAGCCACACTGGTCCCGCAGGCGTTCCTCATAGCTGCGCAGGATGGTCAGACCCATGCTGACCCCTACCACTGCACCTGCCAGGTGTGCCATGAAGCTGGGCTGGGGGCCTGAGGCAGGCAGTGGTGGGGAAAAGCGGAGCCACACGGCCCGGCCCACCTCGGAACTCACTGCAGAGAAAGGTGGCAGGTGGGAGGCACCCTGGCCTTAGGCTGAGGCCCCCCAGCCCCCTGACCCCCTACTTACTGCACACCAAGGCCAGCACCATCCTCAGCAGCTTGTAGGGACACCTCATCCCAGCCCAGTTCTGATGGGGCATGAGACAGAGGCTGTGAGGCAGGCCTTGTGGGCCCCTCCCCACACCCACCCCGCAGTCTGCCCTATTACCATGACGACGTTGGCCAGGTGTGCCGAGCACAGGGCGTAGACCCCACCAGAGCCCCCCACCACAGGGGCCCGCATGTCGGTTATGGAGACAGTCAGGGAGCCTGTGTGAGCAAAGGGAGAACCATGAGGGCGAGGCTCACCAGTATGATGGCCAGGGGCCACGTGCCTGCCTCACCTGCCAGCACACCAGCCAGGTAGAGCAGGCTGATGCGGAGCAGACCATGCACCATCTCCAAGGGCACCCCAATCATCAGCTGCAGGAGCGCGTTGAACCCTAGTTGCTCCAGGCTGGCCATGTGGGTGTAAACAGATGTAAGGTCAGCTGTCAGGCCACCAGCCCGACTTGAGGGACTGAGTGTTCCTGACTCTGTCAGAGGGATGCTGGCGGTGGGCCCCCACTCACCCAACATGCATGAACATATAGGTGAGGAAGCGCCAGGCTCGAGCACGGTGGCCAGGGTGGTACACGAGGGGGCTCTTCATGTACTCAGGGTGGTAGGTCTGCAGCACCCACTTGTTGAGACGAGCCCCGTAGCACAGGAACACGATGATCTGGGAGGGAGAGGTGTTAGGGCCAGGCAGGGCCAGGCCCGTGGGCGGCTCCTGAGTGGCAGACAAGTGGGCACACCTGGGCAAGGGTGACTGAGGCCATAAACACGGGGGGTGGGCAGCTGCGGTGTCTGTAAAAGTACCAGTGGCGGTCCACCTCTCGGGGCAGGATCTCGTAGGCAACGTAGCGCACAAACCGCTTGTAGACACCCAGGCCTGGCTCATCCAGTAGCCCGTCCCGGGGCAGTGCCCTCTGTCCGTTGGCGATGGCCCGCTTAAAGCTGCTTGAGCGTTTACTGCTGATCTGGAGGGGGGCGGCCCTAAGCATGGGCCACCATACTCCCCACCCGCACCCCCCGAGCCACCCTGTCCCCTTGGCCCACCCAGCTCCTGGTAGAGTCTGAGTCCCTGCCCCAAGTCCACACTCCTTCCTGGTGGGAAGGGCAGGGAGTGGGGGCTGCCTGCCCACCCCACTCCAGCCAGGCACTGTGCCTGCCAAAGCCTAGGCCCCTACCCCTGCTGTCCGCCCATTATGGCACTGACCAGGTCCACCAGCTCCTGGTAGCAGACCTGGCCCCGCTCGTTGCTCTGGGCCAAGGCCACCAGCATGTCCAGCTTGGCCGGGTCCAGGGGCAGCTCATGGCTGTGCACCAGGCCGGTGAAGGTGTCCGCACCGATGAAACCTGTGTGCTCAGGGTCCAGCTGCTGGGGTGGGGGGGGCCATCGGCCAAGGCTTGAGAGTGGGGATCAGGCTTCCAAGCCACAGAGCTGGGCCAGGCCAGCTGGGACAGGCAGGCTCCAAACACCCCAGGGCCAGACCTCTGCACCCACACGGTCCCAGGAGCTGCCAGGGCACCAGTGCCTGGGTCCCAGGCCTCCAGCTCTTAGGGGCCTCCCCACCTCATTTCTGCCTTGCCCATCCTCCTAGAAGAGTAGGGCCAAGGTCTGAGGACAATCTCCCTCCCTCCTATACCTCCCTAGGGACCCTGATCTGGCCCGCCCTCTCCCGGAGTGTCCGGCAGGGGGCCAGGGTCATGGGAGAGGGGGCTTGAGAGTAGGCGCCGAGCAGCGGGACTGGACCGCGGCTCTCTGGGAGCTCCGTCGCCTCGGCCCAGCCCTGCCGCGGGGGCTGTGCGGGCGCCCCCC